CTGTTCCCGAGTCCTAAAGACTGAAGGACTAAAGACCCTCAGCTCTGGAAGTCCCTGCCAGAGGACATGATGCTTGCGGGAGCCGTGACATCTCCTAAATCATTTCTCAAAGCCTATCTTTTCGAAGAAGCCTCTTATTAGTTCAAGCACAATTTTATTGCCAACAGGTCTTATCTGTTTTATGATTAGTAATTATCTTTTATGTTGGGGGTTTTATTACATTTTATTTCTGTATTATGTTAATTGCTTGATTCGATTTGCCTCAATCTTAAATTATATTAATTATAAAGCACTTTTTAACTTTGAAAAGTGCTATAAAAATAAAAGGCAGTATATTATTATTACTATTATCATTATTGACTACTTTGAATGAAATGTATTGATGCTGTGATGTGTTTATTGAAGGGTTTAATGTCCAAACCATAAACATAGAACCAAATAACTTGAACTTTTTGGTGTCATCGTAATTTAGCTACGAGTTGAATAAATAATACATATAAGCTGACTGGCAGTGCAGACCTGCCACATAATTACACAATCTTTTCCTCAGTGCTGCGTCACTCCATTTTTTTCCCTCCATTATCAGGAACATCAAATAAAATTCATTTCCCATTTATGAAAGTATTGAACCGCTTCTGCAGTGAATGGGGACTTAATGCCTCATGATCATACGAGACATTTAAGGCTCCATGCATTTTTAAAAGCCCACTGATTATTATTGAAACTACTGAATGATAATGGGCCACGTCTGAGATGTGGACTCTTTACATTCTTTTCCCTTGTTTGTCTTTTTATTAAGGGAGGGTGGGACAAAGACAACGATTAAAACTACGACATTATGAAATATAGAAGGAGAACAGAAGAGGAAGATACGATAACAAAAGTGAAAGAGTGATGAAAAAAGAAAAAGTGAAAACTGGGTGAAACAGAAAAGTCATGGGAGCAGTGGAGACAGGAAGGGGAGATTAGATGTGAGACGGAGGGAGGAGGTAGAGAGAAGGAGACGAAAAATAAACTAAAACAGAGGAAAAAAACAAACATGGAGAGGATAGGAGTTTAAAAAAAACTGGATGTCTGTAATGTGCAAAATCCAAACTCAGTAAGTTTTGACTAGAGACTTGTTTTTTTTTTTTAACAAACAGTCAGGGTGCAACGGACCACTAAAATCCGTTTGAACTGTATCACTGCTTTTGAGTCATGGATGGGATAATTTCTTTTGGATCAGGACAAAAAAATAAAAAAGATAAAAGAGATATTTTGCCATAACTGTCTGTCAACTTTCAAACTGCTCCGGTCATGTCAACACACACTCCTTGTATCCTGTCAATGCAATCCTGCCTCAAGATTTAGCGAATCATTCCTTGCTGAGAGAGAAATATTTTCAGTGGTGTGTGTCTGCACGCAGCACAACGTAAAAACTTCCTGTCGCAATTCTAAATTGTTTTCCTAAAAATTGCAAGATAGAGGGTTGGTCGTGGACTGTGACCATAAAAAGAACATTTTCAACTGTCCAACAGGGTTTTAACTTGTCATGTGTGAGGTGCAGTTTAGTCAGCGAAATCGAAGCTTAAAATCGTATTTTTTCATTAAAATCACTTATTCTACATCTCATTTAAAAATTTGGCCTGATATAAATCATTTGTTCAATCAAGATATTTCGAAAAAAATGAAAATAAAAGTGATGTTCTTTTCGGTGCAACTGTGAAGCCGTTAGTGAGTCAATTGCAACCATGTGACAAAATTCTGGAGCTTTTTGGTTGAAGTGGGCTGGACTGCAGGCTGTGTTTTGTATGATTTATGGCGTTACAACTGCGATATATACTGCGAAAAAGACATTTTTGAGTTCCCTATTTCTAGCCATGGTTGTTTTGTTTACATATAAGAGCAGGATTTTATATTGCAGTAAAAAAAATAGAACCCATAGTGAGTAAAAATGTGACAGGAGCGAAAACAAAATGCATCAACTGTTATCCATTACACCATCAATAACTAGTAATAGGGGAGCATCTTCACTGTAGTCCATGAAAATAATGAAAATACAAAATCACCATGTGTTTCATCTTTGAAGTCAACATTCACTCTTTTCACCTCTTGTACTAAATGCTGATTGAAACTGTCATCAGTAATAATAAAGATGTATAATATACTGACGTTAAATGAGATGGCCATGAAGAAAGCAGGGAGCATGTGCGTTCTTTATAGCTGGATAGCAATGGTTTCACACCAGCGCTGACTCTTTCCATCACAGCATGTGGGCAGAACATTATCGAGCGACGAACACAGGGAAGACAGAATTACAACACACAGTAAAAACACAAACTGTGATTACTTCATTTACACTTACATGCAGGACAGCTCTGCTCACTAAAAGCGACGAGACATTAGAAGCAGGAAACAGTGATCTCTGGAAATCACAAGCTGTGGAGACATTTCCAGAACCTGTGATGTAAACTAACTCTGGACAGCCTGTATTTGTAGGGTAAATAACCGTGAACATTATATGTATTTGTATAATCAGATCCTGTCAGTTTCTGTCAGAATTAAATGTAACGAGCAGAGGTATCAAAGTCTATGTCTGATCTAGATACTCTATCCCTACGATGAAAACCACCAGGAGAAATCAGAAAGCTGTGGATCAATGGGCTTCCTGTTAACCAGGGCTGACGGAAGCTCTGGTCATGTGATCAATATCGGCATTCGTCCTGTGGCTGGAGAATAAAATATTACTGCTGCCTCTCAATACATCAATCTGGATAGACGGACTGTGGTATTAATCAGAGGAACACACAGGCAAAAGAAATCCCCACACATCCCTCACTGACAGGCACGCATACAGTCACACATTACACTGTACCGACATCGAAGGTTTAACCTTTGATTACCAGTGTGTGCTTGTTTTTTAAGACAACAAATTTCAGTAATAAGAAGACTTACAACAAAACAATGCACAAAGGCCTGTCATAATGTCACTGCAACGGCCTTGGAAATGCCACAAACTGTCAGTGACACAGAAAACCAGTGACATAAATCAACTGAACCTGGCTCTGCAGAGACGCTTTTTTTTCTTCATGTTTTAGATGGCTGAATACGATGTGTGTGTCTG